GATTTACTTCCCTAGCTTTATGAATCTACATAGGGGCACCTTGTTATTTATTTATAAGATGTATTATCTTTCCCAATCCCAAAGGACTCTGGCTTCTACATTTTTAATTCATTTGTAGAATACACACATAACTCTCCTTGAAGTATAATCATCTGTTGGCTAGCATATTTATTTGTGAATTGTCCACTTGTCTCTTTTTTTCCAAGTTTAGAGTGATGTATGAGAAGCCTTGTAGTAATGTTGACTGAGTCTCAATAAAATCTAAAAAGCTATGGGTGATTTAATATTTTGACTGCTTGACAATTCTGAAAAAGTTATATTATCTAACAGGAATTGGCCTTCGGCTATAATGCAAATTATAACTAAGCTCCAAAAACGCTTAAATATTATTCCAACAGCTTGGTGATTCAGATGCAGTTTATAAGATACAAATCAGTTATTAGTTATGTTCTATCATTAAGCCTAACTTCCATAGCAAATATATAATCATTAGCTACCCTATTATTATAGCTCTATGCATATTTTGCAAAATGTCCCAAGCCTGGTCTTGGATGACATTATTTAAACAAATCATGACCAAGAAATAGAATACATGACCCTGTAGAAAGAGACAGCCAAAGAATATAAAGAACAGGATTATCCAGTAGATATTAAAATGGCTTGGTTTACTCCTCACACTAAACTAAAATATTATTTTGGTTTCGATTTTCCATGTTCTGTGAACCTGGCCAATTACCTTTTATTCCATAAACCCTAATTAAACTATCCATGATTTAGTGCAATGTGTAAATTAGTCTGATTTCATATAAAACACTTTGTTATATTTCAAATTTGAAATACCAGGGAATACAGTAGTCTTGAAGTCAAAGACTTGTGATCACTCATTTACTTATTAAATCACATAAACATATGCACACAAAATACAGAGACACAAGCATTTAATTAAATCCACAATTCATTCTAGATGAGTGAGAGGGAGCAGAATATTTTCATATGCTATTTCCTTAGCTCCTATATCAGATATGGCTATGTCAAGGTAGGTTTATCATCTCCAATGCAAACAAATTAAATCAATATTTACAAAAAAAAAATTGTGTACTCCGATAGTTTTGGAATAGGAAACTAAGCCTTTTCTGTGAAAAAAGAAAGACAATAGTTTCTGTTTCTCTGTTTAATACTGCTTTCTGACCAAAAAGATTTGGACTTACTATAGAACAGTAATAGAGTTGCTTATTCAGAAGCCCAACACTTCCAAAATAAATAAAAATAAAACAAGAAACAGATGGCTTTTAACAAATAATGAACAAAGACTTTATAGTTTAAAATGCAGGTTTTATTTAGTGAAATTGACTGTTCTGTTTCTCAGGTTGCTTTATTTATTAGTTGCATTTGAAAAGAGTTGGTTCTTCTAAATGGTGTGTTGAAATAGAATGTTTGAGCTACACTTGAAAGCACTTCTGACCTAAGAGAACCTTGAATCACTTCAAGAAATTTCCTCTTCATATTTTTTGTATTTAAAAGCCACTTCCCAACTTTTAAACAATGTGAGGTCATGGTGATATGCTCCCCAACTATGGATTGAGATCAGTGATGTGAAGTGAGGTTTATGGCTGGTGAGGCAAAAAGAAAGAAAGCAGCCTTTGGATGCCCCGCCACTATGTCTGACATGGAGGCGGGATAAATGGGATTATTTGCCACGTAGAGAGGTTGGCCAAAAAGGCCGGGATCTCTTCCACCGCTCTTATTCGCAAAACCTAGGCTGTGTCAGGACATGGGGGAAGGATCTTCTGCCTGCAGGTCTCTGCGGGTCTCTCCTACTGAAGGCAGAACAAGAAAGGGGCAAAGGACTCCAGGCGGGGGGCCCTACGGTCCCCCAAAGCACGCCGGTCGCCAAAAGTGCGATTTCAAAGCAGGCGAGGCGAGACCGCAAATAATGTCTTGTTTTGTTTTGCTCGGTTGCACTTTGGGCTCTTTTTCAGCGGCAGCTTTGCCTGCTCTGGCTCCAGGGTAGACAGAAGAGGGCAGGAAGTGAAAGACTCGCCCTTAGGAAGGTTGAGCCGCACCGAGCCCCGAAGCGCGTTGCGCTCTTCGGCTGGCTGGCTGGCTTGCTTGTCCGGCGGGGTTGGGGGACAAGGAGAGGAGCGGGGCTCGGCTGGGTAGTAGAGAAAGCTGTGCCATGCCTTGAGGCTCAGATGTTGCGAGCCAGGGCCTCATGGAGCCACCAGGAGACCTAGTAACGCGCGCTGCTTGGAGCAAGGGAAAGCCGGTGCCTTGCGCCCCAAGCACGGTTGGCTGCGTGGTGACCTTTCTCTCCCTTTGATGTCCCCCACCAGGACCGCTCGAATGGGCTGATGGGACTTCTGCCGGCGACCGCCTCCCCCAGCTCTCATCCCTCAACCAGGCGGTGGCATACTCCTCGGCTCCCCCTCTGTGCCACACGCCGGCCTCAGACTTCCAGCCTCCTTACTTCCCCCCCCCACACCTTCACGATCTCCTCCCAGCCCGGGTCAGAGCTGCACTGAGCCCCCCTCCCCAGCTCAGAAATGGAGAGGGGAATTGAGGCTGTGAATGGGACCCCTTCTCCTCCTTTCTGCTGCTGCCCGCCCGCCCACCGCTGAATAATTCTTCCTCACCGAGCATGTCCAGCTGCTGTGGGGAAGACTGCTCCTACGAGATCTGCAGCCGGAGGACCAAATTTGGGAAGAGCCAGCAGGCTCACTTGGGCACTCCATGTGGAGGCTGCTGCCATTGAGGTGCTCCTTCCGCGCCCTCCAAAATAACCCACCCAACCTAAGTGTGCCTTTCTCGTGGCTCCTCTTGACCAACAAACAATTTATTTTTCCACAGTCGCTCAACTTCAAACCTGCAAGGCTTGATTTGCTGCTCCCAGATCAGGAGGCAGAAGAATTACATGCCTCCTTTGCATACGGAATTTTTCGCCTTTTAATCCTTGCTTAACTCTTAAAAGGTGAAAAATTCCTTATGCAAAGGAGGCATGTAATTCTTCTGCCTCC